TACGGTTTTTTGATTTCTCGGGGGCCGCGTTCGTTGGTGCGATGTACGATACGTACGGTAGCAAGAAATTTGGGCGTATCATTGCTGTCATCCCATTTATCGGTTATGAGCACAAGTCGGCACGCGTGACTTCGCGTTGCAGACTTCAGTTTCCCGCAAGATGTTTGCCATCTTTTTGCATGGATTGCCGACGTATCGACTAACACTGTCCATCTGCTCGTCGCACGGCCGCAAGGCTACTCATGAGTTCAAACGCCTAGCCATGATCACTTGTACTGACTTGACCACATAGCACAAGCAAGTCATCCGGATCTGAGCGCTTGATCGACGATGCCGCCAAGAACCAGGTATGGCACCTTGTACACTCAACCCATCGCGAACGTCGTCCTGACTTCCTTTCTTTTTCAGTGTCTTCGACGCGAAGCGCCTCATTGGCCGCAAGTTCGCCAACGTGGAGGTGCAGGCTGACCTCAAGCACATCCCGTTCAAGGTCATCGACATGGGCACCAGACCCTACATCCGGGTCACCTACCGCGGCGAGGACCAAGGATTTGTAAGTCAAATCACTAGTGTCGCGCGTCGCGTGTCTCGCTCGAACTTGATCTAATTATCATCTACAGTCGTCCGAGGAGATCGCGTCCGTAGTCCTCACCAAGTTGAAGGAGATTGCTGAATCTTACCTCGGCAACACCGTCAGCTTCGCCGCCGTCACCGTTCCCACCTACTTCAACGGTTCGCAGCGTTAGGCCACTAAGGACGCCGGCACGATCTCTGACTTCAACGTCCTCCGCATCATCAACGAACCCGCCGCCGCCGCCATCGCCTACGGTCTCGACAAGAAGGTCACCGGCGAGGGTAACGTCTTCCTCGATCTCAGCGGAGGTACTCTCGACGTTTCGTTCCTCACGATCGAGGAGGGCATTTCGGAGATCAAGGTCACTGCCGGAGACACCCACTTGGGTGGTGAGGACTTCGACAACCGCCTCGTGAACCACTACGTCCAGGAGTTCAGGCGCAAGCACACGAAGGACCTCTCCTCCGACGCGCGTGCCCTCCGCCGTCTCCGCACTGCCTGCGAGCGCGCCAAGCTCACCCTCTCTGCTGCCACCCAGATGTCAATCGAGACCGACTCGCTCTTCGAGGGTATCGACTTCTACACCTCGCTCACCCGTGCTCGCTTCGAGGAGCTCTGCCAGGAGAGGTTCCGCTCCACGCTCGAGCCGGTCGGGAAGCTCTTCCGTGATTCGAAGATCGACAAGTCCAACGTTTACGAGATCGTTCTCGTGGGTGGCTCCACCCGTATCCCCCGCATCGTCAAGCTCGTCCCGGACTTTTTCAACGGCAAAGAGCCCAACAAGTCAATAAACCCCGACCAGGCCGTCGCCTGCGGTGCCGCCGTCCAGGCCGCTATCCTCACTGGTGACACTTCGGGGAAGACGCAGGACTTGCTCCTTCTCGACGTCGCGCCCTTGTCTCTTGGGTACGTCACATCCTCATTCTATCTTACTTTCCCTTTTTACCAACTTTCCTTGCAGTATCGAGACCACTGGTGGTGTCATGACGCCGCTCATCAAGCGTAACACGACCGTCCCGACCAAGAAGTCCGAGATCTTCTCGACTTACGCCGACAACCAGCCCGGTGTCTTCATCAAGGTCCTCGAGGGTGAGCGTGTCCTTTCGCTCAACGCGTCGCGACGCGTGTTAACTTTCTTTCAGTGACTTCGACGCTTTGGCCGCAAGTTCGCCAACGCGGAGGTGCAGGCTGACCTCAAGCACATCCCGTTCAAGGTCATCGACATGGGCACCAGACACTGGATCCGGGTCACCTACCGCGGCGAGGACCAGGGATTTGTAAGTCAAATCACTAGTGTCGCGCGTCACGCGTCTCGCTCGAATTTGATCTAATCATCATCTACAGTCGCTCAGGACACCACTGAATCTTACCTCGGCGACACCGTCGCGTCCGCCATCGTCACTGTCCCTGCCTTCTTCAACGATTCGCAGCATCAGGCCACCAAGGACGCCGGCACGATCTCTGGCCTTAACGTCCTCTGTATCATCAACGAGCCCGCCGCCGCGGCGCCTACGCTTTCGGCAAGAAGGTCACGGGCGACAGTACCGTCCTCCTCGATCTCGGCGGAGGAACTTTCGATGTCCAGCTCTTGACGATCGAGGGCGGCATCGTCGAGGTCAAGCCACCGCCGGTGACACCCACTTGGGCGGTGAGGACTTCGACAACCGGCTCGACAACCACTTCGTCCAGGAGCACAAGGAGGACCTCTCCTCCAACCCGCGCGCCCTCCGCCGTCTCCGCACTGCATGCGAGCGCGCCAAGCGCAATCTCTCGCTTGCTACCTGGATCTTCATCTTGACCGACTCGCTTTCCGAGCGTATTCATTCCTACACCCCGCTCACCCGTGCCCGCTTCGAGGAGCTCTGCCAGGAGCTCTTCCGCTTCACTCTCGAGCCCGTCGAGAAGGTCCTCCGCGACTAGAAGATCGACAAGTCGAACGTCCACGAGATCGTTCTCGTCGGTGGCTCTACCCGTATTCCCTGCATCGTCAAGCTCGTGTCCGACTTCTTCCACGATAAGGAGCCCAACAAGTCGATCAACCCCGACGAAGCCGTTGCCTACGGTGCCGCCGTTCAGGCCGCCATCCTTACTGGCGACATTTCGGAGAAAACGCAGGACCTGCTCCTTCTCGACGTCGCGCCATTGCCTCTTGGGTATGTCATATTTGTCTTCCCATCCTCTTTCACGCCTTTTACTGAATTTGCCTCCAGTCTCAACCGCCGGTAGTGTCCTGACTCTCGCAAGCGTAACACGACCGTCCCACCCAAGAAGTCCGAGATCTTCTCCACCTACGCCGACGCCCAGCCCGGTGTCCTCATCCAGGTCTTCGAGGGTGAGCGTGCGCGCACGAAGGACAACAACTTGCTCGGCAAGTTCTAGCTCTCCGGTACCCCGCCGGCGCCGCGCGGTGTTCCTCAAATCGAGGTCACCTTGGACATCGACGCCAACGGTATCCTGAACGTCTCCGCCTCCGACAAGACGGCCGGCAAGTCGAACCGCATCACGATCACCAACGACAGGGGCCGCCTGTCGAAGCAGGAGATCGAGCGCATGGTCAACACGCCGAGAAGTACAAGGCTGAGGATGATGCCGCGGCCGCCCGCATCACCGCCAAGAACAGCCTCGAGTCATACGCCTATAACCTCCGCAACTCGCTCCAGGACGAGAAGCTCGCGGGCAAGTTCGCCCCCGCAGACAAGTCCAAGCTCGCCTCGGCCATCAACGACACGATCTCGAGGCTCGACGCGTCGCAGGAGGCCTCGAAGGAGGAGTACGAGGAGAGGCAGAAGAAGTTGGAGAGCATCGCTAAGCCCATCATGCAGAAGCTCTACGGCGCGGCAGGCGGTGCACCCGGTGGCTTTCCCGGCGGCGCACCGGGCGGCTTCCCCGGTGGCGCACCGGGCGGCTTCCCCGGTGGCGCACGAGGCGGCGCGCCCGAGGACGGCCCGTCGGTCGAGGAGGTCGACTAAGTGTTTCGCCTCGTCCTAGTCTCCATGCTTGATTCGTTGTCTTTGTGTCCACATATGTCTGCGTTTCTCGTCTATCGCATGTTCCGGACTCACGCACTCACGCACAAAAGTATTGGTCTTTGTACGTTAGCATCCAATTGTAGAACATAGGTTTTCTTTTTGCTCTCACTGACCTCGAGTGAATGTCTCGTTTGCGAGTTCGCGCTCAAGCGATGTGCATACTATGCCTGGGCAGCGTGTACGTGTAAGTGAATCGGGCCGCACATGATATACACGTCTGACACTACCACTTTCCCTACACGTTTTCGCCTAAGCGCCGGGTAGAAAGCATGACGAACGTCTCATGGACGCCACGTCTTGGGTGGCTAGTCCCTCATCATTCAGTACATAGAAACAAGCCTTTCTATTTCAGTTTGTGTTATACAATACAATGCACAGCGAGGCTAACACGCGACCCTTTCAGTCACTCGTCGTAGCGTTCACCACACGTTCACCACACTACTCTCCAACACGCCAGCCTGAACGCTTCTACCCGCAACAGGCCACTGCGACTTATTCTCGCCTATAGCCATATCAGCGCCCATGACCTTTCATGTCCCAGCAGCTATCACGATACGTACCAGCGTTAACGACAAATTGCGCACCCGCAAAGCTGTTCGTGTTCGCGTTCGAGACGTTCTCCATGGCATAGTACGTGGCCATCATCGTCCCGGGATTGATAGTCAACGTGAAGAAGCCGCGGTACGACTCTTCGGACCACTGCCACGGCTGTTCGTTGCCCGGTGCGGCCACTAGCGCTGTGATGATTTGGTCGGCGGCGGCGAGCGCTATGCCGGGGCCGAACGCTGATGTGGACGTCACGGCTGTTCCGGCGAACTCGACGCCTAGCGCGCCGTCGCCCGTGGCGGGGTCGTAGCTTGCTGTTTCATTCGGATCTGGAGGTGGAAGACAGCGGTTGCGAGTGGAGGGAGGGGAAGAGAGGGGCGTACGGGCGAGGTCGAAGACGCAGTTGGCGTGCGAGTCGCCGGCCAGGATGACCTTGTCTGTGATGTTGTTTTGTTGGAGATGGTCAAGGACACGAGCGCGGTCTGCGCGGTAACCGTTCCAGGCGTCGAGATCAACTGAACAGCGCTCGAGGTCAAGCTCTGAAGGCAGGATCGAGGCTCACACCGGCCAGACTCGTTGAGCTGCGTGAAGACAATCCATTGGCTATGCGATTCGTCAAGCTCGAGCGAGGTGCACATATGAATCCCGCGCGCTTACCCTATGATGCGCCATACAGCGCCACGAGCTTGCGACTCGTTTCGATGTTTCGTTCCTCACAATCGAGGGGGGCATTTTGCAGATCAAGGTCACCGCCGGCGATACTCACTTGGTGATGAGGACTTCGACAACCGCTTCATGCCGTAGCGCGAAGCGAGGTCGAATGCGTAGTGAGCGCCCGGTTCAACGTATTTGATCCGCCCACTGAGGACACGCGTGCACGAGAATGTGAGGGCGAGGGCGAGAAAGCCGTTGGAAGCAATGTGGTTGCAGAGTTTCTTGAAGTCTTGCCGAGGGATATTCACAGCGTGCCACAACACGCGGACCTTCGCGTGCGATGGGTGTTATTGATGAACGAATCGCCGGTACTCTCGCCGTCGGCATTGACGATACAGGGGCCTTGGAAGGTCCTACAGAAGAAGACACCAAAATGTCTGCATTCCATTTGGGTGAGAGGTCAGCACAAGGATCGTCGAAGAGGGGACGAAAAGACATACCGCGTGGGTGGGCAGGCGTCGGCGGCAACCGGTCCTCGTTCTCCTGAGAAGGGCATCGAAGGGAGGTGGTCGAGTACGCCGTAGATGAGGTGGTATTATGTCCATCCACTCCAGCGACGACGCGAGAGGAAGTCGTGGACGTCTCTGTTAGTCGAAACGCTACCGACTTTGGCCGATGACGGTCTCTGGCGCGGATTGCTCCTGAGCCTCACGAGCGTGTGAGTGGCCAGCGATAGGCGTTCGTTAGATTGCCGGTTCCTGTAGCTATGCAAAGCAAAGAGGGGTCCATGTCGACTGTGGGCGTTAGCGGAGCTTGCAGCTGTGGCGGCCGTGGCGATGGCGACGGCGGCGTAGAAGAAGCGGAAGAAACCGCACGTTCAGACGTTTCGCGGCGACGAGGCGATGCAAAGCGGGCTCCTCCCGTAGCGAGCGGCGAGCGGGGAAGGCGGTGGTACCTGTAGAGCAAGGGGACTTCCAGGGGTAAGTAGCAAGGGGTGGGTGCAATAGCTGTCAGTTACACTAGTGTCAGGCGGTATGTCACGACCGGAAAGCCTAGGATGGGCGTCGGTAGCAGCCTGTAGGGAAGGGAGCGAGCGGTAAGAGCTTGTGAAGAGGTGCTAGAGTTCGTGCTGGTCGGGAAAGGGCATGTTCGCACGAGGCGGGTTTGACCTACGCCTCATGTATGACTGGTGATTGACCTGACACCTTATGGCAGACGAAGGTGCTGTGTTCGTGGCTGTTGTATCCCGTGCTATATGCTCCGCGTGTGACAGCATGGGTGTGCGTCGACGCGACGGCAATTCAGAGTTGGACGTTGAACCATCACGACCACGACCACGATCCAAGGATGCCATGCAAACGACCCGATATCTATTGTACATGTTATCTGTGTTTTCCAAGAACTCTTATATCTCACGAGCTGTGGCTACAGCACCTGCAATATCGTCACGACCCTCAGTTTCTTGACCTTCCACCACCGCTTGAATCGACAGGTCCTGAGCACAGCGATGGTGAGCCGCTGAGGGGAGTCGTAGCTCCACCGGATTGGTGAGCTCACAGTGATATGGATAGTTCTCAGCGAGGAGGAAAGGGGTTTTCTTGATGTACGTCGTGATCTTATTGAATAGACGTACACTACTGACTGGTGTTTAGGTAGTTCTTGGGCGACTTCGTCGGATGGATACCTCCGCGATTGAATTCGCCGTTCAAGCTCAAGGCGTGTATTCCATCTGCCAGTATCTAACTCCGCATGATGACGACGTGTCATAGCTTTTGCGGCCAGCGACATCGATAGGCAGGCGGGGCACGTTTTTCACGTACATCCTCAATCGCTCGCGATCCGCGAAGTGGATGGCGACTCAGCTCCAGTCCATGTGCATTGCGACAAGCATGAGACTATACTCGGATTTATAAGCCTCCACAGTTTTCTGCTCTGCATCATGGGGGGTTTCGCGGCTATGTACGCGTTGTATACGGTAGCTTCGGCGGTTTAACGGTTTGGCAGCACGATCCGCATCCGGAATCTGTGCCCTGTACATGGCCCCTGAGCTTACCGAGTTCAGAGCAGGCATGGTGAACTGGCAGGCTCCCGTCGTATCTTCAGAGTTCATTCTCTAGCGCGTACCAATGCCCGATCGTAGCAGTCATTTGTGAGCCAATTATATATATTTCGTCTCCAAAACGTAAGAAGCCGTGACGAGTTCGAGATGATGCATAGAGAGAAACCTATCCTACTGTATACAACGGTAGCCATAAGAACGCTTCGAACCGTCGCACGTAATGCGCGAACTGTTACTGGATAGTTGCCGCGCAACGCACGGGTGTCAGTGGACCCGGAGCACCCGTCATCCCTGGACCAAGAAACAGATCAAGCTGTACATATTCAATTTTCGAAACTGTACACTGTCCCGTTTGACGGTGATACACTGTAACCTTTCTCGCTTGATGGACCCGCGCGGCGCCGACGCGACGCAGGGAGCCGCCTTTAGGTGCCAACTGGGATTTAAAATCTCGGTACCCTGATGACCACTGCTACCCGTCGTCCCCCGGCGTACGATGTGTAGACAACGGCACAAAGACAGTCCGAGGATCGACTGAGAGACACAGGGTTGGTTTCGGGGGCCCGGAGGCCGCGATAGCGTAGCGCAACCTACCGTAAGAGCGCCCTGAAGATCGTAGTACACTTGGTCTGGTGGGTAGCGTAGTCCATAATATTCAGATAGAGTATTCGGAAGGGAATGAAGCTGGTAATGGTGCCAATATACGGCAATGCCGATCAGAGGGCTGTGGGGCTTCAGCCGACTGCACGGGCAAAGCTTGTGGGCGATGTGATGGAGGCTCATAACGGCAAGCGTCGTGGCTGGCGCGTCGTTTGCGGTATTGAGTGGGCCCGTTCGAATCGAGAACGTACTGAAGTCTCTCCGTATAGCTATGACAGCAATCAGCACGGCCATGATCATTATCAAAAAAGACTATGTTACCGACCGCGTCCGCTGCTTTTCGGTCGTCTCCTTTGCCAGATCCTTCAGTTTATAGTCATCGTGCTTAGACTGCGCAGAAGACGGATTATTTGGGCGCAATGAAGCGGGGTAGTAGGTCGGTTTACTGCCCTTGTTGCGCCCGGGCATGGCACAGTAGAAGCGGCAGCTAAAGCGGCTAAGATGGCCGACCATGCCATTAAGAGCTGCCATTGCTGGTGTATCGGCGGTCACATAAGCGAGGAATGGCCGATCCACGTATGTTGCGCCCGAAGCAGCATCCCAGACATGAAGACCTTCGTTCATGAGCGCCGCCAGATGGTACAAGCCCGTGTAGATGAAGGAGTCCAGGTTCTTGGGCTTGTTGGGCCCGGGGACGACGCAGCCAGGAAGTACGTGGATCTTCTTGTAACGGACGTCAGGTGCGAGATCGAGAAGTATCCATATCTGGATCTAGCAATCCGACGCCTTGTTGCGAAAGAGCTGCGCTCCATCTAAGCTGCGCTCCATCTATCGAGAACATGACAATACTGTCAGTAGCTTTGATCTCGCCGCTCAACAGGCGTGTCAAGAGCTCGGAGCCGACGTAGACATCGCCGTACTCCTCGACAGTGAGGCAAGTGCAGCCACCTGCGAGTTCTTGAACCTTCGTGACCTCGAGCGCACGATGCTGCATGAGTTTGGCGATCTCGGGATGACCACGCCTCGCCTGTAGCTGAGGACCGAGAGGGATGGTGTCGAACTGCAGACGTGCGACCTTCTTCTTTCCACGGCTCGAGCGCAAGACGTCGGCATCCCAGCGGCTCTCCTTGCAATAAGGACAGTCGTCTCTGCTTTCGAAGTCGGGACCTGCATAGGCGATACAGCTGTTGATGCACATGTCACGCGTTATCGGCGAGACGGCACTGATCTTCTCGAGCTGCTTCTCCATTTTCTCGAACGAAAGCATCTCGTATCCGGGAGGGAGCCCCCCGCGAATCTGCTCAGCGACTCTGATCTTACGATATGCGTCCTCGGAGCCATTGGCGCCATTGGTGGCGAAGTACGTCGCGAACGAGAAGCGCAGGCCGGGCGATATAGTGGAGACCTCCGCGGAAGGGTTCCGGAGACGGTACAAGACATCCTCCGACAAACCAGAGCCGTCCAAGCCCGCATTCTTCATAGCGCTCACGAGCCTCTGAGCCCAGCGGCACTCCAGAATTGCCGACCCTGCAGCCTCATCGCTTTCGTCTAGATCTGCCTCCGGCTCCGCGAACTCGGGAGGAAGTGTGATGTTCGAGTTATCGCCGGGACCGCCGCCGGGTGGAACGTCAGCCTGCTCCTCAGCATCGTCTTCGTCGCTATGCCTCTCCTCATCTTCATCTTCATCATCCTCGCCTTCGTGATCATCATCCTCGCCTTCGTGATCATCATCCTCGCCTTCGCCCTCATCTCCTGTACCGTCTTTGCCTTCCTCTGGAGGCTCATCGTCAGGATTAGATGTGTACGCGGGCGCTTCGGGAGCGGGGGATCGAGGTGGTGATCGAGCGGGAGACGTCGATGGACGGCCAGGAAGCTCATTTGGGCGAGGTACCGGTTCTGTATCGATGTAAGGGAGCGTATCGTGCTGTTGAGCTATTCAGTGCCATTTCGCACGCGGACCAACTCGCAGGATGCACTGACCTGAGGTGATTCTCCATCTGGCATCTTCGCGATCCTCTCGCCTCGACGGGGCCGCACGAGAAGCGCTGCTAACACCACCTGTATCTGCGCGGGGCCTCTTCCTGAGAGAGCTCGTATCCGTAGCGTTTCCAGGCTTCTCGAGAGTAGAGCCAGCAGCGACATCAACCTCTGCCTTAAGGTGATCTCGATATCGTCGCTCTGTGATCAGTTTCCCGCCGTTACAGAGGCGCTGGCAGATGCACCACTCCATACCGAGCGGTATCTCGACTGGCTTGCTTGGTGAGTCCATGTAGATTGACGGGAGAGCGGAGGACGAAGCCGGAGATGGAGAAACCCTGCAAAGGTCGCTCGCATCAAGAACGACATGAATAAAGATCGAATCTACTACAAGATCAAAATATCGAAAGGAAAGCTTATATCGGGATATTTATGCGGCCAGGGGTGCACGAACATGGCGGTTCGTGTTAACGCGCTCGAGTAGGCACGCCATCATGCTGATTGCATCATTCCGCGTCGAGCGCAGGTAGCGTGAACATTTCCTGCACTTTGAGACCTTATTCAAGCTTTCGTGCACTTTCCTGAAGGCGGGATTCTGACTGGGAGCGCTGAGGTTCCCGTTCAACGTTCAACGAAGTTCAACGGCCATAAAGTGCGACCCTTCCGGCGGCTATTGACCATCATGACCGTTCCCGCCAACTCTGAGCTCTTGCTATTTACCGCTGACTTCGACCATGACGAAACAAGCACCACCGTCTTGACTGGTATCTGGAGTAGTGATACTGGTCAGCTCGCCTCTCAGACCAAAGTTGCTTCCGCACCGCTTTCTATTCGGACAGGTTCTGGGTGTCCAGCACTGTCGCCCTCACCTTCCGTCGATCTCGACGAGCATACTTTAGATGTTGAACAGCCCTGCAATGACCTCGACCTCGACCTCGACCTCGACCTTCCTGCTGTGGAATCTCGGTTCTTGGTAAGCGTAACTCGTCGGCGTATGGACTCAGACTAGTATTGACTTGTGCAGTCTTTGACGTTGGAGGACCACGTCGGGACTTCGGATTCTGGAAAGGATGAACCGGCCTCGTTGTCTGGCTCAGACGACCTTTGCGATCGCGGGGAGGAGGCAGCAACTTCTACTTCCAAGGTGGATATCCCTATTTGTTGGAGCCCAAAGGTCCGTCGTGCACTCGTGCTATACCCCATCCGGTCGCGGATGTCTGATGTACTCTATCAGGGTGCGGTATTCACCAAACATATGAATGGCATACGCAATGTCCCGAATGCTTTCACTACTTGGATTGCAACTGAGGAAGGCACGCCACTAGAGATACCCCCCGTCTTCCATCCGTCTGTTCACCTCGAGATTGGCGATCTGTTCATCCAGTTCCATACAACAGCACTCCCACAATCTGCAAGTCAAGTTCGGCGCACTGCTCGTATTTGGCTAGTGATCGAGGATGAGGACGGGATGAAATTGTGGAGGAGAGTGAGTGAAGCGTATACATCTGGTAGACTGACTCACCCAAGACTCAGTGTAGCCGCCATCCCATTACCCACCCCATATACGACGACCGTTTGCTGGCTTTCGTGGCAACGAGCCCGGATACTCCTACATGGATCAAAGAGACCACTAGGAAAGGCTTGTCGCAGAAGAGTCAGCCGCGTCTGATTGGTTTGGAGACGGATATTGCGTGATCCCTGTACATCCTTCTCGATACATCTACAGAAACATGCGGTCTGCTGAGTCAGGTATCGCGTGAGCGTGAACTAGACGTAAGTTCACGGTACGACGATCAAGGCTCGTGAATGGGAGGAGGCGAACTTTGGGGGGTGATCTTGTTGGAACTCGAAGGACTTGACGGTTACTTCAGAAGGCAACAGATCACGCAGAATACTAGTGGATGGCATGCTATTGGTATGACACAGATGATGTACATAAAACAGACTACTACTACTCGGGATCTGTGAGGTACAGCATCGACTACCACGAAAGGCAGTCTCTACCAAAGCCTCGTCCAGCATGCCCTGCAGACATTGCAGTGACGGAGCGCCACCTGAGCGCCTATACATCTGGCGAGCGGAACAATTAGTTGACGAGGTAAAGTGTCAGCCGCCCCATGATGTATATGACTCACATCAAGTCAAAGCACGGCGCACACTAAGACCAAAAATCCCAAGATAAGCATCATCGAAGTTGAAGGGGACTTGCGTCTGTGCGCTGGTGGTACTAGGGCCCATCCTGTGATCGTCAAGCATCCCTCGTAACACTCTTATACGAACGTCTATGTACTTCTCCCGGAGTTCTAAGAGATGCGCGTATGTGTCTCGATCAAGCCGACACTTCTCTTCGTCTACCATATGACGTTCACGGGTGGTGAGCTCGAAGCAACCTTGTTTGAACCAGTGGGCCACCTCGTACGCCTGGCCATACACCACCTGATTGATCGCTTGGCTGATGATGTGAGGGAAGCGCGCCTCAATCTCCGTGACGACGTGATGGCGTAGAGAGATCAAGTGCCAACTGATGCAAAGGTCGAGAATAGCCAGCCACGCCTGGAAAGTCAGACCCTCGCCGTAGTCCACCGTTCTAGGGGGGTTCGTACATATTCAATAGACACGATTGACTCGAACAAGTAAGACGTACCCGTATAGGGCGCGCAAGAAGTTCTTGAAGTTGAACGCCGATACGCCCTCGGTAAGCATGATCGGAAACTCAACTGAGCCCCGGCCGTACTCCAGCCCCTTCGGTTTGAGAAACTTGGCTTCGAACTCCACGACATCAGGGCTGCTAGAGCTATAGTGCACTGTACGAAGGAGAACTTGTCCCGTCTACGAGAATTGGTCGGTTCGAGTTCGGGGGGAAGAAGGGAGTTGGGTGACGTACCCGATAAGCAACGGGACGGGCGTTGATCGGAGCGCCGGTACCCATCTGGCGGGCGAGCGTGGTTTGAACTGTGGTGTCCTGCGCATAGCGAGAGCTGTATCGAAGCGGGGAAGCCATCGCGATCGGTAGTCTATCGTGGTGTATGGAGAGTTGTTTGCCATATGAACTTCCTAAGGTGTTTGAGCCACAAAAGCGTTGCTAGGAAGCGATGCGAACGATGTTCAAAGGTGGTCGCTTTGCCATGAGCATGGGCCACAATGTCACAAGATGACAAGAGTAGAGCCTACCTCACGTCTAGACGTAGGGAGAAGCATCTAGGCGTCCTTCGGCGCATGTACTCACGCGCGCGTAGTACCCGCTGTTCACCCCTTGTGGGGCTTGATAGGCTCAGTTTCACTCAGAGCAAGGCGCAGGTTGAAGTCAGCCTGTAAAGGGATATTTTGTCGCAGAGGTGGCTACTAGTTCTCTCGTGGCTGAAGTTGGAGCTTGCAACCCCAAAGGCTGAACTGCGGTCATCTGACCTTGCAGTCACCACGACGCGTCGAGCTTCATCCACCTGCGGCCGCAGAAGCACAAAGCAAAGCAAAGGAGCTGAGCCTCTCTGGGCTTCCAGTCCGAGCGACCCGAGCGCGACGTCACTCCAGCCCTCCCAGATCAGAATGAGTTAGTGGATGGGTCTACTATTGAAGATCTCGACGGAATTACCTTGTTACCTTTACCTTGCGTGGCAAGGTTTCTCCCAACTGACAATTCGGCCAGACACCGACCCACCATCAGATGATCATGATGCAAGTCGGCAAGCCCCGTTCACGCAGCATGGGCACGTCGCGCGTCTTCCTCCGCCGTATCCACGTACAACACCGTCTTGTGAACTGGCATAATTGCAAGTGACAGAGTGCCGCTATTTGGATGAAATATGGGATGCACGAGAGTCCACAGCGCGACGCCGCGCAGAGCACATCAAAGTCTTCGCATACGTGCGCGTTCAGTATGCGACACCCCTACAGGCCCATACCTCGCGAAGGGGGGGGCGTCCAATCGAGCGATGAATCGGTCGCAGGACAGCATAACGAATGTGCTGCCCTCGCAGTCGTGCACATAGTAGGACATGCAGGTAAAGCCGTATGGTGAGCACACTACAAGAGAGCTCAGCACTCTCTGCCCCCCACGCAAGGTTTTGCCGGCGCCAGCCGGTCATTCCTCGTGACGGCAGAGCCCGGAGAAAAAGGGAGACAAGCGTGTCGGCGTTTCCTAGAGCTTAGAGCCTTGTGCTAACGATAACCTATGCTCTCATAGTGGTCTCTCGCGACGCGTCTCGCCCTCGGGGCGTTCCCCGTCGATCCTTTCCTTTGCGGTACTACAACTTGGAGAACGATCCAGTGCTTTCCGTCTAACCTCAGTCGCCGCAGATCAAGTTCCAGGCAATTCATTATCATGCCGACAAATATAGTGAACGTTAGGAAAATACATCAAACACAACTTTTCAGTCTCGTCATAATGTGCAGACATATGGTAATACAAGCGGAAGACGAGTCTCTCGTTAGGAATGAAGTCAGAAGCCTACGAGATGCAACCGGTTCACGCAAGTGAACGGTGCATCAGGGCCACTACCCCAAATCTCAAGTAGAAAGGTGTCCACAGGTACCGAGCAAGGCGTAGACGGTATTGTCGTGCCCGACGACGCCAACGTTTCGCCAACATACTCACTGAACAGCGTATCGGCAACCCATTCGCTGAACAGAAGCGGGTATCTTGCGGTCGTTTCTCCGCCTATGCCATCTAACAGGGGAACCAGATGGGACGCAAAATCAACATCGCGCCGCGAGCATTGAGCAGGCAAACGATGGCGGTCGAAGGCAGGGAGCAAACCCCAGATCCTAAACTTCCTGGGAACCCCCACACGTTTGCGGAGAAGTTCGCTCTGTGTGAAGCGGACCGTCATGGACACGAGTTGGATGGGATGCGCCAGACGAATGCCGACTGTTCCGTATGCAGCTTCGAATGGCCAGCAGTTATTGTGGAGTGTAGACGTATCCAGAGTTGAGTTGGCAAAATCGGCGATGTGATATTCCGGGTTAAACAAGGATTCGACTGCCCGTCGGATAGGCCTAGTGACACGTTTAATACCGAGGATGGCATCTGTCTTCGGGCGATAGGTTGCCGTGGTAAGGACGTCTAGGACGTACGCCCCAGACTCTATGGTACCAAGCTCTCGCAGTTCATGGACCTCGAGCCGGGGAAGAAGTTCGCCGTATGCATCGTCTTGATGGGTTTGTGTAGCCTGAAAGCCAGTCATGCGCATGCAACCATTGCCAAGCGCTTGCGCCATTGCAAGTAATCCTAGGTATGTGGCATGGACTGCCGGCAAACCGTCTCGTGCATAGCGTAGAGACGTACAAAGAGCATCCGAGAGCTTTTTAGAATAGCTTCCACTACCTGCTACAGTGACGAAAGCCAGTAGTAGCATAGCGATGAGCACTACCCCCACGTAACCCTGACAAAAGTCAGCGAGACCACTCGGACGCATCGTATATCCTCGTACCTTCTTTCCACGTTTCATTGAGGTGAAAGAGCCATGCACGGCCTTGACGTCGTTTCGCTGGGCTTGAATTGAGCGTCTTGCTAGGGTGGCAGAATCGTGTTTGCGTACATGGTTGAATTGGGGTGGAAGCGCGGGATATAAGCGCCTAGGCAGATAGCTTGCTACTTCCTGTATGATATATCTGCGCCGGAGACCCCTCAGGGGTGGCATAGTGAGAGCTTCCGCCATGTTCCTCGCGAAAATGGGATGAAGAGAGTATGGGATGATGGGGGCTCTAGACAACCAAGGCAGATCACTCCTGATCGTGATCGCTCACGCGCAGTTTCGCTCAGTCTGTCACGAGTGTGAATTATGACAGCCCAGCCGTCCTCAGAGCTCAAACGCCCATGTCCTCGGACCTCGATTGATTCTGCCCTGCAATGTCGGCCTCGGCCGCATTCATAAAACATCACAGCTTTCAAGACACGCTGTTAGGCTCTTACTTCAACGACTGAACCTGAGGCCTGACGCCTGACGCATTTCATCTCTTTGAATGCCACACCCGCAATTCAAATTCTAGGCCGGCTAGCATGATCTGCGCACGTTTGCATCGGTCGGTCAACCACTAGTCGAACAGACGCTGGCGGACGCCCGCACGAGCACGGGCACAAGCTGACGGACCTCTAAGAGTGCAATCGTCTGAGTCTTCACCGGCGCGGCTAGTGCGGCGCCTTCGCCTTCGCTGTGTATATGGTTACTGATGATCATAGACAGTCCGAGCGCCGACAGGTTGCCGTTGACGACCACTGGCCTACACAGCCCGTCCAGATGCATTATATGACCTCGCCCATCATTATCTCGATGTCGAGATCTCTATCGTTACAGCACGATCCCCACGAAGGACAGCGCCGCTCTCTCATTATCCAGCGACGGCATGAAATGCGACATCGCCACTCCAACCTATGTCTCATTGCGGCCACCTCACCAGTGGTTTGCCCGATCAGCAGCATGCTCCCGGTCACGCCTCTGTTATCTGCCTTCGTATGAGCTTCGCTTGTGCGGGAAGCCTAGCACGACCTTTTGTCTCGTCACAGAAACGCAGAAGAACCCTGATGCGCCCATGGCCACGCTCCTGTTCGCTGCGCCGGGCATCAACCTCAGCGACCACCGCCCACGGTACTCGGCTCCCTACCAGACCTTGAGCGATACGGGCAATGCTGCGCCTTGGAGGCGTACATGATCTATGTACTCAAGGATTGCGGAGATCTCCCACGTCACGCTTGATAGCCCGCGAACAGATCGGGCTGCATACCAGGGCTTTGCAACCACTTTGATATCCATGGCAGCAGTTCCACCGGCAGTATTCAACACTCCCTCGACGGAAATGGCTTTCGCGCGGGCACAATTATCGGTGTGGCGTCAACTTCGTCACTCCCATGGGCAGCGCGGTGCACGTTTTCCTCACCCACCATCACGAAGCCATGCGAGCTCACGCGCAACCGAGCCGCGTAGGCGAGGATTCTGAGCAAGACTGTCAGCATACGACACAGACGGGATCCTATTTTGCCAAAAGTTCGTCGGTTGGTTACGGCAGGGGTGATGGCTCCGGGATCAGCACGCAGACGCAGATCGTGACGAACAAGGCCGGCCGAACGGCTCTGGCGCATAGTGAGGACTGAAACTGGGTGTTTACGCCTCGCTCATGCTTCTACAATGCTGTTAGCTGCGTGGTCAACATCTGCTGGGTAGCTTTGCGGAGCCGGAGCGGCGTAATGTGACCGTGGTGCACCAACAAGTCTCGCACCCTTGGGAATCACTGCATACCTTCCCGCTCCGCTTTGGGCGGCTCCGCCATCCTTAACACCCTCGGTGCTCATCTTGCGAAGGGAACATGCTTATTCCTTCCAGATCAGGCCCTTCAACGCGATCCTACTGCTTACCGATGTTCTCGGTCCGCATACAAATACCCGCTCGTCTGAGGCACCGTCGTTCTCCTGCATCGTTCTATTATGATCTAAACTTATGCATCCTGCCAGATCGGCGCGGCCACGCTTAGCGCGTGAGAAGGCCGCCGCCGCACGGCGCAGGTCCTCTGCGCGCGTGTTGGCGTCTTCTTCGTTTTCCGACCACCACCCTGCTTCCTACAACGTTGACAGGATTTCCGCTACTACGCGTACCCTACAACTTTTCTGCCAGGCCTCGGCACCGCGCATCCGCGCCCCTCTACCGGTACTTCGGTGCCGAGTGCCGAGTGGTGTGCCTTCAAGGCCGCCCGCTCGCGCGCCGCGCTCGCCACACCCGCCTACGGCGATACGAGGGACGAGGGATCAAGGTGGCGGCTTTCGTTACCGTCCACACCCTCACTCGTAGTCATACATGGGATTGGTGATCCCATGTACGCTCTGTGCTGGCTAGAGCACGAGGACTGGTCGAGAATGCTGGGTCGAGATGGTCTCCAGCGAGAAGAGGCTCTCGGAGTCGCGAGGTAGCCCACCCGCCCCTGGATTCCATACGGTCTTTTTCTCGTCCGTATTTTTAGACTTTCACCGTGTGCTTCATGCTATACCGCTCAGCGCCGCCAGGAGGGCAGGCGAGCTTACTTGTGCTCTTAACACGTTGTATCCTCAGGAATGAGAATCGGGCTTCTTTTCCCCTCCCTCTTTGACCCGAGTCTGACCCTCTAACGCTCCAACGAGCACACTGAGGAACAACGCGCTCGAGTCACCCAACCACTCTTCTGATTCGCATCGCCGCGCAACCCTCGTCTTTGACGCGGAACTTCTCGCCCGGCTTCCTCGCCCTCTTACCCACTCACGCTGGGACCGCTTTCGCAGCCTAGCTCTTCGAGCAGCTCACCCGGTGCATTCTAATCGTACCGCCTTAGCGCTTACATTGTCGTACAGTATATACGGTGTGGCTATACGCTCACGCGCCCCTCAAGGCCGACCAGAACGCACTACCTGCGCTCCGACGACCTAGCCACAGCGAGTTCTGTTTGGAACTCCCGGAGGCCGGATCTGGCCGGATTCCCTCCGAAACGCGGTCACATGACCTAGCCTTCAGCGCATCGCATGAAATACCTCCGCCTTCTGAGACAATGCAATCACGCGTAGGCATGGCAAACCCGGGAAGCTGGAAGAGACGAGTCCAGAGTCAGATACACAAGCACTTTTCATACGAAGCGTCTGGTGAGTGGTCTCCGTACGAAGATGGATGGTAGTGGAATGAAAGAGGACAAGGCCTTCTGACTGGTTGGGGGAGGAAAAACAGGCTTGGCCTTCCCCCAACTTGCGCCGACTGCTCACCGCTTCTACCTACGCTTCATCTGACAGGTTTTCTGATGCGGTTTTTTCTTGGCGACTCCGAGCCTCTGCCACGTTCCTCACCTTTCCTCAACTGTGCAATCACACCTCGTCTATGCTGCCATGTTCTTCTTTAGACGTTCATCTTCCCTGAGCGCCATTGTGTTGTACCTAATATCATTAAACAGTATATTGAATGAACATCCGCAGCCGATAATATACATAGGGCACTGATTGAAGTGCAACAAGTAACGATCTATTTGCATCAGCGAAGGAAAAGAAGGCCTTGCACTGTCGGGTCGCCAAATTCATCATCGCTCTTTCTTGTGACTGGCCCTTGCTAGGCAAGCAAGGTGCAGGTCGCTTGCTTCGGGATTGGACGGCGTACAGTGCCTTGCCCGAGCGCCACCTTCCTCACAAGTGTCTGGCTGTGGCGTGAGAGGGTCCCGCCCGCCGTCCCCGTGAGGCGGCGAATAGACGCTGTAATGATAGCGGAGTAAGCCGCCGCGCTCGAACGCGGTCACACGAAAATAGCGCGAGTCCCGTCGCCGAGCCTGCGCGGGAAGTGCGCGAAAGGCTGGTGCGAAACCGTCGAGCCGCGAGCTGCTACGGCGGATGCGCTTCATGCGGGGAACCGGGGTCAAAACCTGTATCCCGGAGAGAGCCCGCCGCGCGCAGCGCTGGGTGTCAAGTACCGAGAGAGGGACGAGGGCAGGAGAAGAAGAAAGGGATCGTGAGCGCGATGCGGGAGAAGGTCGCGGGAGAAGGTCGCAGTCGCGGAAAGAGAAGCGCACGGCGATCGCCGGAGCGCCCGAGGCTGATGTGATGGCCGAGCTTGGGCACTCGTCTCCGCGCTGGGTGTGACTCATGCCTCGTCCCGCCTTGCACTACAAGCATGCCTACGCGATCGTGGGCTGGTCGATGCAGCGAGGGTCAAACTCCTTCAAGTTCAGAGTCCGGTTTTGCGTGTATTGCACCATGAGGTACACAAACTGATTCATGGCGACTCGTACTCTCATGGAAACTGAAGGGCAACCTGCCTGAAAGCGTCTGTAGAAGGCATGCAGCAGTTGTGTTTGGATTGACCATGGATGAGCTGGCTCATCGAACCAGAGGTTCGCTAAAGCAGGCGCGAGAGGCTGATCCGAGGAGGTTGAGACGAGAACCTGAGACAATGCTAGGACATGATCGGAATCGCTCGTGCGCCTCAGTTTCAAATGGCCTATGCAGGGCAGTCGCTCTAAGACGGTTCTCCAAAGAACCGGGGTCTTGAAAGCAGAATGATTCAATCTGAGTGTATGAATCGTATCCGGGGAATGCCAACCAAGTACATGGTGCAAAAGTCGCGACATCGTATCCGTGTCTATGAGTCTCACGCTTCGAGACCGGATATCAGCAATCATCCCGATAGAGTATCTCGTAGTTCCGCCGCAGGAACCTCTAATGTAAAGTGTTCCGTTTCGAGAGCCGTTCGTTGGAAACTCCGCAACATATACAGTGTCGATT